GTGAATGTAACATTGTCTGATCATGTGTTTGATTGTGTACATATGAGGGTCACTTGATCTAATAGATCTAACCATCTATAATAAATAAATTAAAAAAACCTGTTAAATAATAAAATATCTTCAAAATTAGATCCACTAGCAAAGATAATGCGTAATGTACATACAAAAAAACTACATACAGGCGTATTTTAAACCTTTTCCTTTTTTGAAGTCAATAATAAGTACCGCCTTACGAGTTGGAAGTAACAGGCAATATCTGTTTATGCATACTCTCCATAAAATAAAAATCAACACACATTAATTCATGAAAGCAATTCATACTTTACTGTAGGAAAAAAACATCAAATTTAATGCTATTTGCGTCCCGACTTTACAGCGACATGAATGGTTCCGCGACTTATTTCACTCGCCGTTGACTGTACTACTCTGTGTAAAAAGTATCGGGAATATGTCAATAAAAAGACCCGCGTAAAAGAGGTCATTCTAATTTTTTTACTGCATGTTGGTAGCACTGTACTGATTTAGCGATTTATTTAGTTTGAGCGGGATCTGTCATTTAATTTGTTTTAAACTACACTTTTTGTTGGTCATAGTTTTGAGTTCTCGGCGATTTTTACAATGGAAAATATTGTTGAACAAAGAGTGTGTCTTAAATTTTGTGTTTCGAATGATATTTCATGTGGTGAATCACTAAAAATATTGCGAAATACCTACGGCGAATCGTGTATATCGAAAACAAGGGCTTATGAATGGTATAAGGCTTTTAAAGAAGGCCGAGAAGTAGTAGTAGACTTGCCTCGTTCTGGTAGACCTTCAACCGCTACGACCAAAGAAAACATCGACAAAATCAAGAAGCTAGTGCTCAAAAATCGACGTATGAGTCTGAGAGAGTTGGCTAGTGAGGTGAACATATCTTTTAAGTCCGTCCACAACATTCTTATTTACATTTTAGGCATGAAACGCGTCGCCGCTCGACTAGTTCCAAAAGAGCTCAATTTTGTTCAAAGAGTGCAGCGAAAGCATGTCGCTGAAGACATGGTTTCCCGAGCTTCTACGGATCCGACCTTTATGAAACGTATAATAACTGGCGACGAGACATGGGTTTATGAGTACGACATGCAAACAAGCCAACAGTCTTCAGAATGGCGTCTCGAAAACGAGCCGAAACCCAAAAAAAACGCGGCAACTACCGACTTGACTACCGTGGTGTGGTTCACTCCGAATTCCTTCCAAAGGGAGAAACAGTGAATAAAGAATATTATTTAGGCGTCATGAAGCGTTTGCGTGAGAGTATCCGCCGAAAACATCCAGATTTGTGGCAACACAACTCATGGATGCTGCACCATGATAATGCACCATCACACACAGCCATTATAGTGAAAGAGTTTTTAGCGAAAAATTCAACAAAAGTTCTCGACCAAGCACCGTATTCACCTGATATGGCTCCGTCTGACTTTTATTTATTTCCCAAGTTAAAATTACCACTTCGAGGAAAACGTTTTGAGTCGATAGAAGCCATAATATGGCGCTTGTGACTTTAAATAAAGCCTTTGTCGAATTACTTGGGAGCCAGAGTTTTAAACGTTGTTGTGACGGGTTGTTGTGACGGGTTTTGTGGGACATATTTATTTCGTTGTATTGTGTGATAATCTGATAATACACTTAGTTTACACTACTGCCTTGTCCTGTCAGTCATTTAATATGAAAATATGTAAGAAATTTTAGCCGTCGAAGGAAAAGCTGATATCTCCCGCCGGGCAAGGTGTGAACGTGAGTGAGTAGAACGCTAAAAGGAAGATGTACGTTTCAGGCTTTAACTGAATGAAACATATTTAGTTGTTAAGTAGTAGTAGTGAGTTCCGACACACCTTGACTATTTTTATACTTGACTATTTTATGTACAATCTCTTCAAATTTTAGGTAAAAATAAACATTAAATAAGTTATATGGTCATTAAATAATAATAAATAGACATTAAATAAGTTGTCCCATGTTGGTCTGGGCATATACTGGATGATTTTTTTAACCGTCTGGATAAAAAAGGTGTAACAGGTGAACAGAGTAAAAGCCTATGGCACTGATATCTTTCACTTCTTATTTTAGTTTACATTAACATAGTATGAAATTGATCTATCAGTAAATACTGCTAATTCCATACTTGTGTAAGATATTAAAAAAAAAAATATGTCATCTGTTTTACTTTGCTTAGCATGTTGTAAAAGGCAACTCACGATTGTGAAGGCAATGATATACTAATAGACTTCAAAACTGTTAAAATAGCTATAGCTGGCTCGGTAAATATGCCACACAGTTGTATTTTCAATTATGATAATTACTGTTTTTAGACAAATACGAAAAATTTGATTATCTAAACTAAACTTCAAATCACGTTGTACACATAAAATAATGCTGGCCGTATGAGGACGCTCAAGGTCGCTCAGCGAGCTATGGAGAGGGCTATGCTTGGAGTTTCTCTGCGTGATAGACTCAGAAATGAGGATATCCGCAGTAAAACCAGGGTAACCGACATAGCCCAACGGATTAGTAAGCTGAAGTGGCAATGGGCCGGCCATATAGCTCGAAGAACCGATAACCGATGGGGAAGAAAGGTTCTCGAGTGGCAGCCTCGTACCGGTAGGCGTAGTGTAGGGCGACCCCCCACTAGATGGAGTGACGACCAGGTAAGATATGCAGGAAGTCGATGGATGCAGGTGGCTAAGGACCGTGCTTTGTGGCCTATATTCAGCAGTGGATTTGTGAAGGGCTGCAATGATGATGAATGATGACATAAAATAATAACAGCGTTTTCTTAGTTACTTACATTAAACAAAATCAGTGTTAGATTGTCGAATATAACGTTTGCGGTTCACAAAACAAAGAACTAGTCTTCACATCAAATCAAATTAAAGTAGGTACATAAAAACATAAATAACTTTCTTTTTTTAAAGATTTTTATATGAAAGAAAAAATTTACAAAAAGGGTTATTATAACATAAATAACTACATAAATGAAAATAACCCGTGGGAAGGAGGTGATCGCCCCCATGCTATAAAAATCATACAAAAATTGTAACAAAATAAATTTATTGAAAATTTAAAAATATGTTTAAAAAGTTCCGCTGGTTTTCTTGCTAGTTCTTCCCAGGACAAAGGTTTTCTTGCGAACCGGTGGTGAATTAAAAAATTGACTTTCAATAAGTATTATACAATAATATATATTGAATAAAAATAATTCATTTCATTTCATCCGCTCTTAGTTGATCATATTGGACTAAAGAAGTTACGGATAATTGATCGTAACTTAGTTCGCAATGTACTAAGGCCGCAGAGCCCGTCTAGTAGTATACACAGAAGTCTTTGATCAAAAGCCATATTTTTTGCCGGCTAAGCCTGGTCCGAGTAGTTCGCTGCTCTTTAGACTTTGCATACCCCCTCTAGGTCAACAATCGTGACGCTATGTATGTATGGAAGTTATACGAATAAAAAGATAGTTCTTAATTAAATATGGAAAATATGTTTTATCTCAATTTTTAAAACCTAGAATAGTTTCAAACTCAATTTTGCAGTCGAGTGAGTGCATGTCATCTGTCTAATAATAATAATAATAATAATAATCTTTATTTGCAAGAATATGGTTGTATAATGGTGTTAGAGTATAATTCGTTCTACATATTCTACCTTAGTGGTGTGCATATATTAATGGTCAAGTAACCTAAACAACAATACTTGTCGAATTTAACATGTATTAATTTAACAAAATATAAAATTATTTAATATTATTTACTTGATTTGATAATTAATTTATTATGCCACAGTGTTAGAAAAAAATATAAGTAAGTATTATTATATCAAGTAAGATTATTATTATAGGTCAATGTCATATATTAATTATTATTCTTACGTCAATAATTATATAATGTTACCGTAAAACCCGCCAACTTTGGTTTTTAATTCTAATATTGGCCGCTTGACAAAAATAACAAAAATTTGCTGTAGTAAAAAATATATCTCATATAGCAACATTTTACAACATATTGTGAAAAATAGAATATATTTCTGGCAATACCAATCATACGTTCGGTTACTAAGTTCACTCAGTTGGCTGTCAACAGTTGTCAAATAGGAGTCTCTGCCGGTGGTCCCAAATTGTTCCTCGAGTATAAAGCTTTTTCGCGCTTGAAAAATGATCCAGGTGAGTGGAATTTTTGATATGTTATTAAGTGAAATCTTGGTTTTAATATGGTGTACATCTCAAATCAATATGAGTCCTCTATTAATCAGTATTTCAAATGACCAATGTTACAATCACTTGTAGCAAACCTGTGCCGTTAACTTTGGCCACAGAAAAATAATACTAGGGCTGCCCACTGATAATTTTAGAATTCGGTACCTACCTACTCATGAGTTGATGGTATTTTTTGCTTATAACTTAGTTTTACAATTAGTTTTGGTATAATACCTAGAATACAGTTTAAAATATGTATATTTGCTTATTATTTATGTCCATATATATTTACAGAATGGATACATCTAAGCCAAAATCAAGAAAAAAGCAAGAAAAAGCAGGCGCCTTAGTGCCCGGCAATATAAAAATTATTCAAATGAAATGCTTGAAATAGCCGTAGATCTTGTTATAAAAAAACAGATATCAGCAATAGAGAGGCGGCGCGACAATTCGCAATTCCTAAATAGACAATATTAAATAAAGTAAACAAGTCTCATACAAAGTCTGTGGGATGTCCAACGCGATTATCTGATGACGAAGAAGCCAAATTTATTAAAATTTTTAATTGCTGCTGGGGAATTCGGATGCCCACCTAGTAAATTGGATCTTCGCCTCGTCGTATACTTGAAAAAGAATGGCCACGAGGATGTATTTAACGGAGGACCTCCTGGAAAAGCATGGCTTGATAATTTTTTGTCAAGACATTCATCAGATTTGTCAGTTCGTAGCACGCAGAATATTAAAAAATAGAGCTGAGAAAGGGGTTGATGAGTTCATGGAATATTTTAGAAATTTAGAAGAGACTTTGAAAGATGTTGCTCCATCAAATATACTCAATTTTGACGAAACAAATTTAACAGATGATCCAGGATATTCGAAATGTATATTTAGGCGAGGAGTAAAATATCCCGAGCGAGTGCTCAATTCAACTAAAGGAGCCATTTCGCTGATGTTCTCAGTTACAGCGAACGGGAGCTTGCTACCTATTTACGTTGTCTATAAGGCAGAGAATTTATATTCTGAATAGATACAGGGCGGACCGCTTGGTACTAGGTATAACCGCATAAGATCTGGGTGGTTTGATTCTTTTGTTTTTAAAGATTACTTTAACACAACTATTATGGATTGGGCAAAGTCTTTACCTGATAAAAAGGTCATTATATATATGCGATAATTTATCAAGCCACTTAAATGTGAGTGTTATCGAATTATGTGAGTGTCACAATATTCAGTTTGTTTTCATTCCATCTAGCTCGACACACATAACACAACCCCTTGACGTCGCTTTTTTGCACCACTTAAAAAAAGTGTGGCGAGCAATATTACTGAAGTACAAAATGTAAAATCCCAACCAAACTACTCTGAATAAGAATCATTTCCCAAAACTTTTACATTCTTTAGTTGATCAAATTGAAATATATTCATCTAAAAATATCAAAAGCGGATTCAGAGAAACGGGGATCTACCCATTCAACCCAAGAGAAGTACTGAAGCGTGTACCAGAGTATCAAGAAGATGTAGCATCATATGGGATTGACAATGCATTGCTAGACTACTTAAAGCAGATCAGGCAGCCAAATCCTATGATAACAAAAAGAAACAAGAAAGTTATGACTGTACCTGGAAAATCAGTAATAGTCGATGATTTACTGCTGACTGTTACTGATTTTTCAGACTAACTCTCAAAATCGAATGTACGAGGCAAAGTCAAGTCATCCAAGAATACTACGACACTCACGAAGGTAGATCCTGCTGCCTCACTTCTAAGTGTCTCACTCGAGAAAATTAATAAAAATTACAACTATAACATTAGTTATATTTTAAACGAAAAAACGGGTCTCATGGAAGTCACAAAAACACTGATTTAGTATTTGAAACTGATCTATAAACTGATACCCGTGATTTCGATAAAAGACCAAGACAAGCTCAAAAAGATAAATATTCTATCCGACATCATTTTACCAGAATATAAGACTGAGCCTATTGCAAAAACTAAAACTAAATACTTTAAAGAAATTGATACAAGCTTTAACATTTTATCACAAACTTTTCCTTCAGAACGCAATATTATCATAGAAAAACCACATACTGAAAATTCGGATGGTAAGGTAAGAAAAATAGATAATATTGCTTTTAATATTAACCTTCATGGTGTTTTAAGTAGTGACAATAATGAAGATATTATGGATGTTGTGAGTTGTTCTGCAAATAGCAGAGAGAAGACTAGCAGTAAAAAAGGAAGAAAAAACGTCGTTTGAGAAAAACTGTTAAAAAGGAAAACGTCAAACCAGTTAAGAGACCAAGAAAATCTCTAGATAGTTCTACAACTACTGAGGAAGATTGGATTAGCACCCATAGTGATTCTGACATAATTGAAGCACTTAGTGATGTTACAAATTTTGAAATAAGTATGGAAGAGTCTACAAATATTGATGGATCTATAAATATGGAAGAATCTATAAATATGGATAAACAAATAATAAAAGAAGATATACATAAAGAAGAAGATGCACGCACATATGCATGCGTACGTGCGTGCACATTTAAAGTTATAAAAGTACTTTAAATTTTTACTATATATTATTAAGTGTCTACTTGTTACACCATTGTATCACTATCTTTCTTTTAAATTGTATTAGTAATAATAAGTTGTGACAGCCATACTAAAAATTATCCATACACAGCTTCTGCACTCGGACGATGGCCAATCATTGGTAAAGTAAGTATTTCAATTCCCTTTGTCATCGCTCACTACACCCAGGAGATGATATGGGGTTGTGGGTATTATTACGCTACCACGACACAACGTATATTTTTATATATAATCTTGTACAGGAAACAAAATATGTATAACATGGCAACATTTAAAATATCGGTATAGATTCATTGTTTGCATTTCGTTTATAATAGCATTTTTGTATCTCAAAGGCATGTCGATTATTGAAATCATTGCTCGTTGTGAATATTTTCACCATGTATTTATCAATTAACTAGTGACTTGATTCGTCTTTGACTGGATAAGATCTATTCATGTGGCCTTATTTGGATTTAAGATAGTCAAAAACCATAAATTTATCTTTTTTTTTTCAAAAACTATCTTTAAGTTTTTTGGATTGAATATACCCTAGACCCCTTCTGGTGTTGCCCTTTATCTGTTTGTAAAGTTTCATCACAATCGGATAGCCATGAAAGAAAGACGTATAGGCGAACAGATAAAGACAGACATACAGAGAGACCGACAGACAGAGAAACAGGCAGATAGAAAGACAGACAGACAGAGATACATACAGGCAGAGATATAGGCAAAGATACCGACAGATAGACAGTAACACAGACAGAAACATACTGAGACACACTGAAAGACACAGACAATGAGACAGACATACAGAGAGACAAGCAGAGAGGCAGACAGTGAGACAGAGAGATAGAGAGACAGACCAAGAGACAGATGGACTGTGAGACAGGCAGACAGAGAGACAGACAGACAAACAGAAAGACAGACAGAGAGACAGACAGACAAACAGAGAGAGAGACAGAGAGATAGACAGACAAACAGAGAGATAGACAGAGAGACAGACAGACAAACAGAGAGATAGACAGAGAGACAAGCAGAGAGGCAGACAGTGAGACAGAGAGATAGAGAGACAGACCGAGAGACAGATGGACTGTGAGACAGGCAGACAGAGAGACAGACAGACAAACAGAAAGACAGACGGAGAGACAGACAAACAGAGAGACAGACAGACAAACAGAGAGATAGACAGAGAGACAGACAGACAAACATAGAGATAGACAGAGATATAGACAGAGAGACAGACAGACAAACAGACAGAGAGAGAGAGAGAGAGAGAGAGAGATACAGTGAGAAAGACAGACAATTTGTTTTAAAATTGTTATTTATATCTTAATAGCATTCAAATAATCCCTTAGAGCTATTGAGCTCTAAGGGATTATTTGCATGTCTATTAAGACCCCAGTTATTTCAATCTTATTTATATGTTAACTTATTAAGTACATAATACATATTATCTTTGAATTTCATTTCCCCAAAAGTGTATTCTTATAAACCGAGTCATCTAACAATGTGACAGTAAATGCGCAAATTGTACTGTGATATGTCGCTGCTATAACAGACGTTTATTAAACTCGACGGTAACTTTATCCGTTAATAAAATTCGCAAATGTACGCAAGGGAATTAAGTAAAATGGCTGCGTGTATTATTTGCGTCTTAACTCTCACTGACAATTTCCAGTCAATAGTTTATAATAAGCTGAAAACATAGAGATATTGCAAACCTCCAACGCGATGCGGAGAGGCCCTACTATCGAATTCTTTAAATCACTTGCTTCAGTCAAATTCAGTCGTGCTTACTATTTTACATCGCACTAAAATGACACGAGAAGCACATGATTAGAAAGAGAGGACAATAATGAACAAGCCTGATGTTTTTTTTTTAATTTAAAAATATATATTATTATAAAAAAGTCCGATAAAAATTATATTGTGGATAATCTATGTTTCATAAATTCTCTGTATATAAGATGTCTCGAGAACTACTTTGCAAAATGACCTAAGTTTTTTTCTATTATCTTAAGAATCATGCAGAGCTGATTCCTTTCAATAATCACTTCTGTGGTGTGCACTTTTGGACTTTCTATTTTTTTCTCTTCCATTCTATTCCACTTTTTTATTTTCTTTAAAGACATATACTTTGTCATAAAAATACGTAACTATAATTAAAAGGCATAATTTTTTTAATGAATAGTTCTTTAGAATCGTAGTGATTTGAAACTCGGTGAAACGAAAAAGTGACACTAATAAGAGATTAATATATACAATCTATAGGATTAAGCCTAAGAGAGAATGAGATAGAATACAGCATAGCAAGCGACAGTAGCCTAAGGTCCTCTCAATGGTGACAGTATTTTTGCCAAGTGTTGTGCCAGCTTATAAGTTGGTGAATCGATCTGGTTCACTATAGGACGTAATGAAGCGTTTGGTTTGTGTATCTTCGGTAACCCATACAACCTCGGTGGTTTGGTACATGATGGTATTAGCGAATTCACGTCGAGATTTAATTTTTCGGAGTATTTCTTTATTAAATCGCCAGTTGCTTTAAGTGTGTTAGTTGTGGGGTCTGTTTTGACCTTTTTGTATGTACTTTCGTCCGCTAAAAGCTGTAGTATTTTAAAATTATACTCTGACGTGTCCATTATTACCGTAGCATTTCCTTTATCCGCGCGGAGAATCGTTAGCTCTGGTCTGTTCCGTAAGTTAATCAACTCTGTAAATTCATCTTTAGGAAGGTTTGGTTTCGGCACTTAACAAGGACGAAATATCTTGACGTATGGCCTCCAAATCTTCCTTACCGATATTATTCTTAAACAGACAATCCTCAACACTGCAGATAATTTCTTCGTACGGGATTTTTCGCGGTGTTAATGCGAAGTTCGTTCCCTTAGTTAATACCTTTATTGTCGGTTCGTCCAGTGTATGTTTTGACAGATTATAGACCGTGCGTTGTTTATTGTTTGCGTCTGTGGTCAACTGTTGTGTTTCGTTCTGACGTTGACTTAGATGGTTGGCATTTGATTTGATCGTTAATTTTTGGTATTTTTCTATTTGTTTATTTTTGCATTCATTGTATTTCGATGTTTCTCGTTTGTTTAAAGTTTCGATGCAATTACTAAAATAAAATGTCGTTAAAACTGTCTTCAGTTCACTGGACAAATTGTCTATGGTGTTGTTTATGAAATGTAGATCGAACTGTTTCTGCTGAATCACCGTTCGTAACAACTTTTTACTTGCCTGTTTTTTTTTTCAATTTTTTCGGCCATTAAATTATTTTGTTAAAAGATTTTTATGTCGTTTATTTTACGTACCACCTTGTGGGTCAATCAATTTTTATTCGATAAGATTACTTTATCCATATAATGAAGTACAGGCACTATTACAAAGCAATTTTACTCTAAAGAAAATGTTATTTTGGTTCAATATGTTGAAATTTAGGCTTTAAATATCTAAAACTAAGGATTCTAACGTTTATTTACTATTAGATTGTACTTTTATTTGATATTTTATGACGCTTTTGTGGTTGAAAATTACAATATTAAGCAAATAACTTGCCGTGAAAACTTTTTAAGTGTTAATGACGTGAAAACTTCTTGAGAATCGTTGTAATTTGAAACTCAATGAAACGAAAAAACGACACTAAAGAAAGACAAACATATACATCTATAGGATTTAGTCTGCGAGAGAATGAGATAGAATACTATATTCGTATAATCGTGTTTAGGCTACCTAGCGTTTATTTCACGTTGCAACTTGGGGGCTCGAATTTTGTTAATACATTAACTTACCAATATCTCATGTTTAAAAAAACGTGAAACTGCAAACGGTAAACTTAGTAGCTCATTTCTATTCGCGCAAAGGTTTCCTTACGAAAGGGTCGAAATACACCGCTGTGTTTAACGACTGGAAAATTGGAGGCCGGTAAGTAGTACTTAATTATACTGCCGCAGCTGTACTAGATTCGGTACGTTCATATTTTCTGTGTTATATAGGCTGCAAAGTTTGAAATGTTTAGTTATTTCGGTTAAGTGTATTGTGTACAAGTAGGTGATTGTCGGAATATTCAGGAAATTATTCAAATCTACGTAGCAGAGCCATGCTGCAGTT